GGGCTGGGCCGAGAGCGCAGGCAGGCTGGTGGTTGGGTGGGGTCGCCGGCCCTGAGCTAGTGCGCCGCGCCGCCGGGAGCGCACGGTCCCTTCCGGCCCGGGGTCCTGGGCCTCCCTGGGCAGCGCCCCCACGTTTCTAAGAAGCCAAATTGGCCTCCAAGTGTTAGCGCGAGTTGCTGCCGGCCCCCTCCCGCCCCCTGCGTCCGGCCGCACCTGCAGGGCGAGCCCCCCGTTCTCTGCCGGGGTGGGGCCGCAGTCAGTCAGTATTAGGACCGGGGCGGGGAGGGGAGGGGAGGGGAAGGGAGGGGGGTGGGAGGCAGGAAGGCCGCGTAGCTCGTACCCTGGCCAGGTCCATTTCCTGCAGCAGTGCCCGCAGGCTGGGCTGTCCAGTTCTGATCGGTATATCGGCCGCGCCGAGGCCGGGACAGTGGAGCTCTCAGGGGAGGCTGGGCGGGCGCGGTCCCGGCCCCTGTGCCAGCTTCCCCGCCGGGCTCTGAGGACGACGCGCCCGGGGGCCCAACTCGCCTCTTGGGGCGCCGCCACGGTCCTCGCTCTTCTGCTCCGGTGTCTCCTTCACCCCGAAGCTCAAAGTCGGGCGTCACGGTCAGTCGGAGTCCGGGGCACTGGCGGTCCTGGCACTTAGCGTTATATTCCCGCCCCTTCCCTATCCCCATTGTCCGCAGAGGACGCGCCACCCGTTCTCAGTCCCCGGGGCCTGGGGCGGGGCTCGGCCTTCCTTTCTACCCCGCGGCGGCGCCAGCGATCTCCCAGGCAGGTCCGAGAGGGATGTGTAATTTCGTTCTCCTGTGGAGAACATGTGCCCCCGATATCAGGCCCTTTTTGCTCTTTGTATTTTATTTTGAAACTGTATTTAATGCTTTTATATGAAAGGGGTAGGGGGCGGGGAGAGAGCTGTCCCAATCACCCTTATGTGCAAATGTATTATTTATTATGCGTGTATCAGAGATAAGCTGTGAGGTGGCAGAGGAAGGACCGAAAGGAAGAAGCAAGGACAGAGGCGCGGTGGGGGGAGGGATGGAAGGCCCCCAAATACCCCTACTAATATGTGACTCTCCAGCCTACTCTGAGCCGCAATGCCGGTTCTTCACAAGGCGAGGCCACTGCAGGACCGGTTCCCTTGGTCTAAAGTCAGTACAGTTAGTCACCTGGTGGGACACGAGGGCTGGGTCTGGAGGGTGAGAAGCCATGGCATCTGGGGCCAAGGGCCACCTCTGTTGGAGGGAAAGTAGAGGGCAAAGAGACGAAGCCCTTACCTCCACTCCAGGGCACAGCTTCAGGCCCACTCACCTTGACTCTTCCTGACTGGGAGTTGAATTTTATACCACGGGTTTTCTATAATTTTTATATACATAATTCAAGATTGTCAGAGGTGGAAGGGACCCTGACAATCACCTAGTACCCTGCCCACTCAGGTAAAATGCAGCCCAGAGAGGGAAACTGTACTAGAATAAAAATACCAACTCCCAATTCAGTGTTTTTTGCATTAAGCCACAGTCTCCTGTTCTTTGGTGTTATTAAAATTTCCTACCCTGTTAGGCCAAAGGATTAACATGTACTGGGTGCTGCAGGCCAACGCTATGCAGTCATAACCTGGGAATGGCAAAGAGCTGCCCCAATTCCTGGAGTCAGTTTGCTGAGCTCTGCAGGGAGTACTTGGCACCATAGGCCTCAGCTGGAAGGTGCAAGCAGCCTTCTCCGTCACAATTCCATAGGTGGGGCTGCCAGCCGCCTGGTTCCAGCCTCCACAGCAGAGCAATGGCTCTGGCAATTGTGGTGGTGTTGATGCTACCAGGAATTCACGAAGATACTGAATGGGCTGTCAGTTGACTGAAAAGTGAATTCCCAGTGTTTGGACCTCCAGGGTTTTTGAGACAGTATTAAAAGCTAGTGAACAGGAATTATAGGTGGCACCAGGCTGGCCACTACTCTTCTTTTACTTTCCTTCATGCATGTTTTCAGTTCCAGAATGAGTATTCTACCACTCTTGCTACTCTGCCAGGTCAAACACAGTAGGCACATTGGGGCAGCCTGTTATAATCACCCCAGCCCACTGCTGAAGTTCAGGTAAGGCAGGGCAGAAACTGCCATTAGGAACGGTTCCGTTTTTCCCAGTAGGCAGGAAGAGTGGATGCTTTCAGAGACAGTCCCAAGCACTCCAGTGGGTCTCAGACCAACAGCATCACCCGAGGAACTTGTTAGAAATAAGAATTCTTGAGCCCCACTCCCTGAACCAGAAACGTGTGGGGCTCAGCAATGTTTTGACGAGCCCTCCAGTGATTGTATCGCACTCTGACGTTCTGAGCACCAGTGAGCTAGGGAGTGCCACTGTAGTGATGCCTACTTTGATGAAGCTATGGTCTCATGGGTTCAGGGTCAGGGGGCTGGGTGATCCTCATCTCTGGGTGTGCCTCCTTCGCGCCTCACTAGTCTGACAGGAGCAGGTGGTTTCTTCATGAAGATTGTTTCTAATGGTATGCTTGCTATTATGGCCAATATGTAAATGTTATTCTGAATACATATTTATATATCATGTTACTTAGTGACATTATTTGTATGCGTATTTGTGAAGTTTGCATCAATCATTTTTTAAAAATTTCAGCCTAAGTTTTCTAAGAGGTATGTTGAATAAATTTTTAAAACTCGGCGTAAGGGTCACAGCAGCCTTAGTTTTAGGGAAGAGCAAATCAGAGGTAACAAGTTCTTTCAGCAAAGACCCGCTACATTTAGTTTCCATTTTCATGGTGACCGCCTCCCACTTTAGGTGCACTGAGGCTGTGTGTGACTGATAGGTGGGAAGCCCACCTAGGTTGGTGTGAGGCTGAGCTGGGACAACAGACCCCTCTGGCCCCATCCACTCAGCATCTTCTTTCTTCTAAGGTCACCTCTTAGAGGGGCTTTTATTTTCTTTCTGAAACCAAATGCACAGCCTTGCACTACTATGGAAATTCTGCAATCTTGGGAATCCTTACCAGTATCAACTGTTACGTCACTTTTTAAAGCTTCAAAAGTGGAGTGGGGGTGGGGGTGGGGTAGAAGCCTCGTTTGGTTTCATACACCCGAACTGTGTATAAAGAATAAAGTTAGCAGAGTGACACCACCATTATTGTGTGTTTTTTTTTTTTTTTTTATTAATACCACATCAATTTGCAGTTTTACAGGAACCAAGACCAAGCTTCTTAGGTGCTACGGTATTTTATGTTGCACGCACAGACACTCACAGTTTCATTAGTAATTTTTCATCTATAGATTTTTCTTAAAAAAAAAAAAAAAAAAAAATTCCTGCGTGGCACAATTATCTGTCCAAAATCTAAACATAGCAGTAAGAAAATGACAGAGCTAGGTGTGGAGGCTTCCAGTGCAGCAGGGGGTCCTTTGGAGGGGAAGGCCAAAAAGACGTTCAGTACATTGACTTCCTGGGAGGGCAAAGGATAAAGATGGAGAATGTATTTCCTACTATGACGTGAGACCAGTTAAAAAATTTAAAAGAGCTAAGAAAATAAGAAAATGGAAATAAGGCAAGGGCACCTCTTAACCATCAAAATCCCTAAGTAATTTGCCAAAAACACGTGGGAAGACAATTTCCTTCCACTACCTTCCAGAGTTGCCGTGCTTTGGGACTGTGAGGTATCGTAGCCCTTACTTTGAAGTCACCAGTGCACGCTCCCCTCTGGATTCTCATAACTGCCAGTTATAGCAACCTGAAGGAACTCACAGATGACTTTTCTTCCAAGTTTACTGAATTTTCATGCTGAAAGGAAGAAAGTCACTTAGTCTCAAATAGGAATCAAAGATTCTATCTGCTGTCACTCTGAGTCGTTGTCTTATTTAACTGTGCACAAGGCCCATCAACAATCTAGCCCTGTCTGGTCACCCTTACCTAAAACTTCTTGAAAATACTCTCAAAAGCACTCCCCTGGGCCACAGCAGAGGTGCTAACACATTTTCTCTCTAAAAATGAACCGTCAAAGCACAACACACACCCATAAGCTAGCCTCAATGCAGTTAAAAGTCCCTATGAACCATGAAATGCACTTCTCTACACTACACCTTGTAGTGTCCTGACCACAGACACTCTCTCTCAAGGCAGCTTGGCTTTGGTCCTTAGGGTAAAACAGTGAGCAAAGGTTAAAGATATACCATGTGAAGAAGGAAAATGGAGGGAAAAGAAAAGACTTTGTAGTTCATCTCGTAAGAACGCTCCCCCCGCCACGGACTGAGACAGGATTACAAGAACTCAGTAACTGACGAGCCCACATGCAGACTATTTTTTCTCTAACAAGTTTACAGCAGTGTACAGCAGTTACAGACATTTATTTCATAATAAGAAAAGTACAACCGTACTTATTAAACTTGAGGTGAGGTGGGCAAGGAAGAGGGAAGAAAGCACATTTCAGGAATGAGTTCTCCAACTAAAGCTCAGAACTGGTGTCCAAAAGAAATGGCACCGACACCACCTTCCAAGTGGCAGAGCTTTTCCACTCCTGAGCTCTGCGGGAGAGGGAGTGGCTGCTGCAGCACTGCTCCCTGATGCCTTTCCAGTCCCGTTTTCCGTTTCCAATCTTGTTATCAGATGGCATTATACGAGTAAGGAGTTATCACTATCACCAATAAGTTATTAACAGAGTTGGAAGTTATATCCCCGACAAGTGAAGAAGAGGAATATTAGGAGTAGCTGCTCACATTGTGGGGCAGGAAGACGGGATTACAAAAAAAGAACAACCCACGGGAAGGAATCCCCCTCCTGTCCCTAAGTGATTTCTTCATAAATTAATCATTATTTCTTAACTTAAAAATAAGGGTAAAACTATGACGGGAAACTGTAAGATTTATACTTAAAAATTGGATAGAAGACCTGAAGAGTTGTTTTTCAACTTTTACTTTCCCCTTTATCTTCAATCTTCTTCCCCCTTTCAAACTACAGGCAAAAGCTCCACCACCATTAAAGGTATTGACTTAGTCTATTACTTTGATTCTTCCTTTATTCTCTTGGGTTCTAAAATATCAGTTCTTTTTTCAGTCCAGCAATTCCTGTGCTTGAGGGAAAGGAGGGCAGAAAACACCAAATTAAAAAAAATAAGCTTGGAATGCAGGCTCAAGCTGACACTGAGCACGTGCCTTCATAGTACAAGTAATAATGTTATAACTGTTAAATGATGTTTTAGTAACTGAAGCGTTTCTGGTTTCCAGGTGCTTATTCTGCCTTTTTTTTGGCGATTCCAGGGACTTTTGCTTGGATCCTATTAAGGAAAGGAAAAAAAAAAAAAAAGGTGAAAACGTAAGCATTTGTTTTAGGTTTTTGTTCTAACTGTGATACTAGGAGAAGCCAGTCCTTTACTTGCTGGAGTGATATCGAAAACATTCTCCCATTTTCACAGGCTTACTCTGGATGAGAAGAAGCAGTGGCTGAGTCTTGGCCTGGGATGAGTCTGCGGGGCCTGCAAAGACCCACCCTCCACCCCCGCTATGCCTGCTGCCTGTCCGCTTGCACTGCCAGAACCTCCTCAGGCCTTCACTGGGGGTTCCAGAAAAGACTAGGGGGTGCCTGAGCGTAACATCTGCTATGTTCTACCCACTGGCAGCAATCAGGGGAGCAGTGGACAGTGCTTCCCGTTTCTCTGGCTCTGTGATGCACAGATAAAGGAATGCCAGGTCGACCACTAGCGTTGCAAGGAAACAAGGAGTCAGGGATCAAGGAGACATACAAATATGAGATGGGTCATTGGTTCCTGGTTCTCACAACCACAAAAGCTGGCAATAATTCCCAGCCTCTCACAGAACACTACATCTGCCCTTTATTCTGGCAAAGGTGTTCCGAAATCATAAGTTATCCATTACTAAAGGCCACTCACACACCTAAGCGAATGTCAAAACACTGATTCTCCACAAGTGTTAACATCACAAAGCAGGTGGTCTGAGTCAGCTAACACTGCTAATCAAGGCACTGATCTAAAGCTAAGCTATGTGCCCATCTCTCACAGATCAAGGGTGAACAGCAAACAGATATATTTATGCTAAGTCCTTGGCTGGTTTTAGCTCCAACGTCTGCCTAAGAAAGCAAAAAAAGCAGGTGAAGATTCCAGTTTCAGTCAGAGCTATCTGGATGTGCTCACAGTTCTCTCTTGATAAAGTTAGGAAAGGCACTGAAATCTGGGGTATGAAAGGGACTTGAGGAACACACAGGGAGTTCAACTGCTTGTGATGTTTTGCTTCTTAAAGAATACATGAATAAAATATGGAAAATGTTAACATTTTAACTCAAAGTGTTGGGTTCATAAGCTTTTGCTCTAAGTAATCCAAAAAGTTATAAAAAGTTCCTTGATTATAGAAACCATAGAAATACATATTGATTTATTATTTAAATATTAATATTTAATTGGTTACAAAAAGGATTTTTGAGCCTGAAGTCATTTATTTACTAAAACTTCTATTTCTGAAAAGGGAGGGAAGAGTTTGGCTTAAAATGGATACATGTGATGCATACAGACCAAGGTTATTAGTGGTTACCAAGGACAGGTGGGAAGGGAAAAGTGGAGTTACTGCTTAAGGGGCAGTGGGTTTCTGTTCAGGGTGATAAAAAAAGTTGGGAACAGAAAGTGGTGATGGTTGCACAACATGGTGCATATAATTAATGTCACTAAATTGTACACATAAAAATTGTTGAATGGCAAATGATTTGTTATATGTATTTTACCACAACTAAAAAAATTTGAGATACTTAGAAACAAATGAAGGTGGGGAGGCAACCAAGAATACTTCAAAGCCAGTTCAAATAGGCAGAGTGGCCCTGAGTCCATTGATTTCCTCTTTAATTCAAGATACAAAGGATACTTTTTAAAGCTGCTGAAATAATTTCTAGTAAAATCAAACTCTGTTAACCAAGGTTTTTATCGGGGGCGGGGGGAATCACATGTCGTGCTAAAACGTGGCTCCTAAATGTACTTACTTTTCAACAATTGATTTGGTCTGATCCCGGGCCATGCCCACATAGTGGTCAATCTGGGTCTTTAAGGAAGGAAAGTAGACTCAGTTGTGGTGACACAAAGATTAACAATTTTCCTGAAGACACTTCTTTTGTCTAATTACACCATTTTTTAACACTACTAAACACTCTGGAAAATAAAAATAATACCCAGTTTTTAAAAGTGTTTAAAAACTTCAGACTTCAAATTATGCCACAAATGCCCCACACTTTAGCATAAAAACCACTCATACCTTTTGCAGAGATAAGTTTTACCTGCCTAGGTATTTCCTTTAGAGCCACTGGAGGAAAGCATTCTTTGAATACTAGAAATTGTGTGTCTAAATCGATATTCTGTAATCACAAATGTGTTATGGCTTCTGGGTAAGACTAATCCATCTCATACCAAAAAGCCATGAGCAAAGTCTGTTGACATATGACTTAATCAATAAGAATAACCTCATAGCATCTAGTATACTTCATACACACCATTCTACAATGCATGGATTCCCTTTATGGCCTATACTTGAGTAAGTTTCTTTTTAGACACATAGCTTTTATTTAAACATTTTTATGAATAGATAATATATCCACGTGATAAAAATTCAAAAGGCACACAAGTTATAAAAAGTAAGTCTCCTTCCTAGCCTCTCTCTCCCAGGTATCCAGTTTCTCCTCTTGGAGGAAACCACTGTTAGGAGCTTCATCTAGGCACCTGATTTAAAAAAAACTGGATTACAGAAATGATGGTTATAAAAAGACGGCTCCAAACTTCCAATGCCTAGAGAAATGAACTAAAACCAGTCATACATGTGGCATATATGAAATTGAAAAGACAAATGCTTACCTTGTACTTCTCATAGACAATTGGAACGCTGAAAACGAGCAGTTCGGCTATAAGACATAACATGCCAAGTGTAAATATGACATAGTTACAAACGACAAATACATTTTTCCTCATGAAATAAAGGGAAATATAAATCTTCCTCAAAATGAGAAATCCCAAATATACTTCTCAATTAAAGCCACTGAAATAAAGAAAGCTAGTTTAGGGTGGTATAAAAAGCCTCCCCAGGTACACAGGCTGCCTTCTTTGCACCACAAATAACAATTTCTAAATTATGAAAATAACATCCCCATATTTAAATAAAATCTAGACAACTCTACTTCTCACTGCTTTAGTATTTGTTTATAAAAATCAGCTGCTGTTGAGTCAACTCCAACTCATGAGGACGCATATGTCAGAGTAGAACTGTGCTCCACAGGGTTCTCAATGGCTGACCTTTCAGAAGTAGATCTCCAGGCCGTCTTCCGAAGCGTCTCTGAGTTGACTTGAACCTCCAATCTTTCAGTTAGCAGCCAAGCATGTCTGTTTTCACCACCCAGGGACTCCCATTTCTTTACAGTTGGGAGCACTTAGTAAAGCAGTAGTGTACACACAGGCTCCTCCAGCATATAAAGTCTCTGTGGATATAAAGAGCCCTGGTGGTGCAGTGGTTAAGTGCTCGGCTGCTAACCAAAAGCTCGGCAGTTTGAGCCCACCAGCCACTCCACAGGAGACAGATGTGGCAGTCTGCTTCCGTAAAGATTACAGCCCGGGAAACAGTACGGGGCAGTTCTACTCTGTCCTACAGGGTCACTATGAGTCAGAATTGACTTAATGGCAATCTATTTGGTCTTTGTTTTTTTTTATGGATATTAAAGGCTGGGCCACGTGAAACAAGTGGAGCCATTCTCTTATCTCACATTCTTACCAATTACTTCAACAAGTATGAAAAAATTTTCCTTGTCCCCTTACCAAGGATCAGAAGGGTGATTCCATTGAAAACTGCACCAACATAGGTCATCAGCCACATGAAGACAGCGAGCTGTGAAAGCCAAGGTCAGAGGGTTAAGCAGGAATAATGCACAACTCAGGCTAACTGATGCATTCTCCTCTAGCTAATTAAATCTGCATGTATCTAGTGGTGTATGCCATAAATAAGTTCAAAATGAAGGTTTCCCCACTTCCACTACACACTGAGGGTATGTAAGAGAATCCTGTAGTTCTTAGGCCCAACGACAGATTGTACTTATGTTCCTGTTGATTATGTTTTCGCTGTTCTGGTGTTAGTTCTCCAGTAGGAGAAGTGCCTTCTCTAATGATTCCTATCCTCATTTTTACGGGTTGACTGCAATAAGCATACACTGGTTTTTGCCTGATGAAACCCAATTTACTGCTTTTTCCCTGAATTATAACCCAGCTGGAGGTTTTTCCCAGCCTCACCACCAAAAGCTACAAAAGCAACTAACCTTCAAGGAGTCAACCAGATCTTCCACCAGAAAGAGACGGATAATGAGCTTCAGGGCCCTGTTGATGTGCACCATAGCAGCATTCACATAATTATGGAAGGCTTCCGAGGACAGAGTGATGTCTACATCCAGGTAGGCTCTTTGGGAAGAAGAAACAACAGTAACACATCTGACTTGGAAGATGACTTCTTTCAGTTAGCAAAGCAGTTCTTTAGAGTGTGAAACTGACCCCAGGGGGTCTTTAAGAAATCTCTAGGAGCATTTTTGGTTGTCATGAGGTAGGGTGGTACAGTGCGATGGATTGCTTTTATACAGCCTTTCTAGCCATGGTCTTGTAACTACCACCAAATGATTGGGTGGGACTATGCAAATAAGGTGCCTGTCGCCCAAGAAGGTGATTGGACAGCTTGTGAATAGTGCAAATAAGGTACATGGCACTCTTGTTAGGGTGGGACCAGGCAAATAAGGTATATGGAACTCTAATGAGGTGACTGCTTAGTGTTTCCATCCACTAGGCTTAAAAGAGAACCAATCCCAGAGCAAAGAGGAGACCTCACTATTACCAACATAGAAGAGCTAAGGGTGGAGCATATTCTCTGGACCTGGAGTCCCTGTACTGAGAAGCTCCTAGACCCAGGAGACAGAGAAAGAGGTATAACACTGGAGATGCTGCAAGATGGTGAGAAGCAGTGGGCAGCAGCAGCAGAACCAGGAGACTGGCGTGAGATGGCACAGTGGGCTTCTTGGCCCACAGACTAAGGCTGTTACAGTGGATGTGCCAACCCATGGAGCAAGAGAGCTTAGCGCCTTCGGGCAAAAGGCTTGCTGGCAGAGTAGGGTGCCCCCAGGAACTTACTGGTAGAGCTAAAGAGCTTTGAAGCACTTGCCCGAGCAGGGCAGAGGCCATGCTGAGGGGCTAAGGGGCTGAAAGGCTGAGGGCCTGAGACAGAGCCGCCTGCGGGCACAGCTGAGACTGTCCTGATGAAAGATCTGTATCCTAAGTCATCTCTGATACTGAATTGTAACCTGTTATTTCCCTAATAAACCCCAAAACTGTGAGTATGGTCTGTGAGTTGTATGTGGCCACTGCAACGAATTACTGAAGCCAGCAGAGAAGGAAAGAGTGCTGTGGGAGGGACGGCTGGTGTTAGAATTGTAAAAAGGTTGGAGAGAGGAGGCATGTTTGATCTCATAGGACTCAGCCCTGGGCTACTGATCTTGATTCTCCTTCCCCCTTGTGAAGTTAGAGGTCAGATGCCCCACCCCAACACCATTTCTGAGGGTGGAGACATCACTATCATTTAGTAGGCAGAGGCAAAGATGCTAGATGACTGCAAAGTGTGGGCAGTCCTGCACAGTAAGTACTGTCCTATGCTCTGTATAACTTTTTCTGCTTCACTGGATATTCACAAAGGTGAAAACCTATTTATAATTATCAACAGTCTAGAACACATAAACACAAAGTATTTTCTGCAGTATTAACAAATCCTGTATTTTCTAAAAGTACATTTTGTTTATGCTGAGACTTTACTAAGATTTTTTCCACCATTTTAGACATGTTATTAGGAGGGATCGGTCCCTGGACATCATGCTTGGTAGAGGGTCAGCAAAAAAGAGGAAGACCCTCAATGAGATGGACTGACACAGTGGCTGCAACAATGGGCTCAAGCGTAACGACTGTAAGCATGGCACAGGACCGGGCAGTGTTTCGTTCTGTGGTACATACGGTCACTATCCGACTCAACGGCACCTAACAACATTGGTGATTATACATGTAGCTGTTAAGTATGTGATTTCTTTATTATCTTTTTGGTGTACGTAAGTCAAAGCAATTAAATAATGACTGAAATAAATATTGGAACCCTGGTGGTGCTGAGAACCATAAGGTTGGCAGTTCGAACCCACCAGTTGTTTCCTGGAAACGCTATGGGGCAGGTCTACTCTGTCCTATAGGGTTGCTGTGAGTCGGAACTGATTCGACAGCGATGGTTTTTTTTTTTAAAATAAATATTATTTTATTATAAATGGCTATTATTCCATTATATTACAATTAAGATTTACTTTTTGAAATTATGTTTGTAAATAGATTATATTATCTATGAATTTCATTTCAGGATAATAAAGGAAGAATTATAAAATGTTTATTAAAAAAGTAAAAAGGATGGCGGGGATACTGAATTTGACAGGGCTGAGCACTACTGAGTCATTTACCAAAAAACAGAAAGATATACTAGGTTCTGTTCTCAGAGGCACTGTAGAGTTGAAATGTAAGTATATGCTCACAACTTGTTCATTCACTCAATATTTACTGAGTTCCTATGGTGTATCAGACGTGCAGCTAGGTGCTGAGGTATTAAGAAAGGTAGGACTGCTTTGCCTTAAGGAGCCTACAGTCTGTGGGGGATCTGTAGAGTAACAGGCATGCTTTTTTTCCCTACTTACTGAGAAAATATTTACTATCAAATATAAAAGTTGTAAGAATTAGATGTGTGTAATTAATGCATTTTAGTGAAATGCATTTTATAAATCCACAATGGTATTATGCAAAACGGAAAAGTAACTTTCCAAAACATCTAAGGTTTGTGAAAAAAAAAAAAGAGTAAAATGTATTCATTCATTCATTCAACAATACTGATTTGTTAAAACTAGTTTGCAATAAATTTTTTAAAAAATTTTATTTTTGTTGAGAATATACACAGCACTACATACACCAACTCAACCATTTCTACATGTACAATTTAGTGACCCTGATTACATTCTTCGAGTTGTGCAAGCATTCTCACCCTCCTTTTCTGAGTTGTTCCTCCCCCATTAACATAAACTCACTGCCCTCTAAGATTCCTATCTAGTCTTTCTAGTTGCTGTTGTCAACTTGATCCCATATAGACAGTTCTTCAAAGAGCATAATGCTCAAGGCAGACGTTCTTTACTAGTTAAGCTAAACTATTGTTTGGTTTTAAGAAGACTTCAGGGTTATTTTTGGCTTAAGTTTAAAGATTATCTCAGGGCAATAGTTTCAGGGGTTCATCTAGCCTCCATGACTCCAGGTCTGGAGTCCACGAGAATTTGAAATTCTGTTCAGTTTGCAATGAATTCTTAATAGCACAATACAGTTTTAAATTATTCCTTCTATTTCCACCAAGAGAAAATACAAGGACCAGAGCTGCAGGTGGATAACCTATTCTTTTGGAGCCCTCAGAGGTGACAGCAGAGGTTTTTAAAAAACTGTCATTTGCTAATGTTAAAATAAAAAATTTTTTACGAGCCAAGATTTTCCAGAAAACATCTGTTAAAGTTACACAATAAAAAAGCTAGAAATCGGATTCTAGAAAATCGATGACCTACAGACTTCATCAAGATTTGCCCGATACTAAGAAACTGAAGGACAGATAAGGAGGAAACCAGTAATAAAACCAAGAGTAAAAACACTGAGTCCTGACATCAAATACTCTCAGTTAGGCTGTGTTATCACCAAAAACATAGTTTCAATATCAAGATTTCAAAGTTCACCCCGAGAGTATGTCCCCCGGACACGCTTTTAGCTCAGTGGTGAAGTCACTCCCGAGGTTCACCGTTCAGCTGGGGATTGGACAACCCCATAAAACAAAATGGGACTAATGAGGCACAGCACTCCAGGAACAAGAACTAGAAAGCAGGAAGGGACAGGAAAGCTGGTAATAGGGAATCCAAGGTTGAGTAAGGACAGTGTTGACAAGTCGTGGGGTTGTTAACCATTGTCATAGGGCAATATGTATACTAACTGTTTAATGAGAAACTATTTTGTTCTGTAAACCTTCACCTAAAGTACAAAAAAAAAAGAATTATCTATGTGAGATCAAATTGACAACAGCAACTCAAAAGGTTTGATGGGACGCCTAGGGGACAGTGAGATGAAGACAATGGTGATGGAATAATTTAGAAAAGGATAGTGAGAATAGCAGCACAACTGGAAGAACGTAATTGATGTCACTGAATTGTACATGTAGAAATTTTTGAAATGGTGTATCTCTGGCTATATATATATTTTCACACACATACACAAAAAAAGTCCTCCAAGGTCGAGAAGGGAGAGTGTTGACATGTCGTGGGGTTGGTAACCAATGTCATAAAACAATATGCGTACTGACTGTTTAATGAGAAACTATTTGTTCTGTAAACTTTCACCTAAGGCACAATTAAAAAAAAAAAAAAAGATTTCAAAGTTGTTTCAAGATTCACATCTCTGTGGGCTTAAATATGTGCTTGGGACCCCATTTAACTAAGTGCTGTCCTAGGAGCTCTCCTTTCCCTACCTGCTCAGAAATTTAGAGGGTCCTGTTTGGTCTTGACGTGAGTCTCTACTTTGTCAGAAGGTTCTTGGCTTGTAACCTGGTCATTTCCTAAAGTAATCTCAGGGTCTCTAGTTGATGGTCTGCGCCATTGGTCAGCAGCATTAGGCTCTGTAACTCTTTGATTTTTAGTCAGATATTGAGAGTTACTAAAATGCAGAAGTTTACTTGAACTCACTTGAATGGATGACCTTCTTCTGACTTCTGTACGGCTTGGATGACAGACTTGTAGACCCTGAAGCTGATGGTGACAGAGAGAAGAGCCAGGATGAGGTAAGACACCACACTGATGACACTGAAGGCTGCCAGTGAAAGCAGCACGATCAGCGTGGTGCCGAAGACAAACCCGGTTTTCTTCACATCTCGCCAGAAAATCAGATCGTGCACTGCCCAAAAAAAAAGGGGGGGGTACATAAGTTATAAGAACACCCATAAGCCACAAGGTCACAAGTGCTCTCTGGCTGTGTCTTGCAATCCTGTGACGCATTACACTAGCACACAATTACAGGCGCACCCCACTTTAAGAGCATCTGATAAATGAAAATCAAATTACATCAGGGGTGATGACTCCCTTGCTACACAGAATAGGCTTCTAAAAAAATCGAGCTTGTTTTATTTAAGAGATGGCTACTCAAGTACATTGGGTGCAAAGTGTCATTCACTTTAAACGTTTCAGCAGAAGGGATATGCAAGTGTGGCAAAATCTTGATAACCGTTGACTAAATTAAACAAACGCTGCATATAAATTAAGAGGGGTCAACCGAATATAAAACCAAAGCTAATTTGAAATGTATAAACTGAGGTGGGGAGCAGAGAATAATGAATAAAAACAGACCAAGCCTAGTGTTAGTTACACTGAAACAGCAGTCTCTATGTTAATGTGAAGAGAACTCAGGAAGAATTATGGGTAGGGTGACCATATAATATCTAAACTATAATACCTTTGAAGTGAATGGGGACCATTATTGATAATTATGCCAGAAAAAAGGACTGTCCCAGGCTACCAGGTTATATGGTTGGGGATACCCAAACTGGAAAAATGTAAGTTCTTCTACTTAAACCCCAAAAAACCCACTGCCATTGAGTCAACTCTGACTCATAGCGACCCTACAGGACAGAGTAGAATTGCCCAACAGGGTTTCCAAGGAGCGCCTGGTGGATTCAAACTGCTAACCTTTTGGTTAGTAGCCGTAGCTCTTAACCACTACACCACCAGGGTTTCCTCTTCTACTTAAAGGTACCTCAAAAACTCTGGGTGACAGCTGATATCAATCACCAACCAACCTAGCAATGGCATTACCATTTGAATTTCAATCTGTGAAGGCTAACTTCAAGACTAATAGCCCTACTGTGAATTTCCTCTGTGCTACTCTCTGTTTATAATGAAGAACAATGGCTCTGGAGTTAAAGAGACATAAGTTGGAGTCCTGGTAATTTCTAGCAATATTAGTTTACCTTTCAAAGCCTTAGTTTTCTCATCTATAAAATGAAGAAAATCTACTTCCTAGAGTTGTTTTAAGGAATGCATGAGGCTAATCCATGTAGAGTGCTTAGCACAGTGCACAACACAGCAATAATCACTCAATTTTAACTACAGTCAATATAAAGTTAGCCTGGAAGACAGTGTTTGGGAGGAAAATGAACTTGAGTCTGATCAAAGTCAACACTGCTGACACCTAGTTCTTCCCCATATTGTTATAAAGCTCTAGTTCTCTGAACCCACTTCTCTGAAGCCTAACCTTGCTAGAGCCAGAAGAACTTAATTTAAAATTAAGAAAACACTAAAGTAATGCTGTTTGTCTAGAAGAAATAATCACTGGTTCAGAGATGTCTGCTGGGGGAGGAGACTTACTAAGGGAAAGCAAAGGTGTTACAATTCCTGATGGGAAGCCAAGCGTCCCAGACAGCAATGTTGCAAAGGAGAGAGAAAATTGGTAGGCAACTCAGGTTCACCTCATTGCAGCTGAGTTGAGAAGAATAGAGTGCTGCCTACTTAAGAGTCGACACTAAACAAAATCCCTATAGCCACAGTCCAAGTACACAGACACCAGCGTTCATATGACTACAAGAACAGTCTCAACACAGATGCTTAGAGGCTCGACATCACAGTAATGGGACAAACTAATGCCATTACTTTTACGGCATTCTTGTCAAAAACAAATAACTGGAATCTAATCATGAGAAAACACCAGACAAACCTAGACTGAGAAACAGTCTAGAAGACATGTGACCTGTATTCTTCAAAAACCGCAACGGTGTGAAAGACATAAAGTAAATGTGGCCAACTGTTAACAATTAGTGAACCAAAGCAAAGGGTATATGGGATTTTTTTGAACTATGCTTGCAACTGTTCTATAAGTTTGAAATATTTGAAAAACAGAGAGAAAAAGAAAGAAAACTTTAGAGGATAAGGATGGAGCCCAGAGAGAAAACAATCTTGATGTATTAGAGAAGAAACAAGGGCTAAAAAAGCCACTAGCCTAAATGCAAGTTAGAAATTCTACCTTTGTCCAATTAGAAAAAGCTACCCTGTCCGCACGACGCTGTACTGCCATCTGCTGGAAAACTGTCATAAGAACTATTCAAACCTACAATGATAGCACATGCAAATGGTGCCCCCAAGAGGTGTGCAGTGTACAACCTGCATAACAGTACAGAAGGCCTTCGGTTCAGCCTTAAAATAAATGGTGGAATTATGGTCTGGGATAGAAGAGGGACATACACTAACTATACTATACTAGAGGGAGAGCTTGGAAAGATGGTTCAATACATCAAACCTCTGTCTGGAATGCTTTTTTCCCCTTCAAGTCACCCTGGCTTGCTCCTTTACTTCATTCAGGTCATGGCTTGGGGGCTACTTCCTCAGAGACTCTGCCCACCCCATCCAGCAACCCCCCTTCTCATTCTTTATCCCCTTATCCTACTTAATTTTTCTTCACAGCACTTACCACTTTATCTATAGCAGGCTCTTTAAATCTGTTGTTGAATGCTTAATTAAACACAGACCAAGCTAAGGACCAAGAGACAGCATAACCAACAACTTTCATTTGTTTCCTGATGATGCCCCTCAAACCATCAAGTTTTTTCACATAAATGCAATCAAGTACGGCAGACTAAAGAAGCCAAGTACAGAATACCAAACACATTCTAGAAACTGGCATGGGCTTTGGAAACTTTTTCTTCTCTGATCTCTTGGGGGGAGAGTTGTGTGCTACCGAGTCAATTCTGGCTCATAACGACCCTATAGGACAGAGCAGAACTGCCCCATTAGGTTTCCTAGGCTGTAATCTTTACAGGAGCAGATTGCCAGGTCTTTTCTCCAGTGGAGCAGCTGGTGGGTTTGAACTGCTGACTTTTGGTTAGCAAGCACTTAACCATAGCAACCACTTAATCAGGGCTCTTGGGGAAGAGCTAGGAGAATGAAAAATGTGAGAAAAAGTTGAGAAATAGGGCAGTTCCCAAATGTTTAAAATGTGAAACACAGACTTAGTTTTGGGGTTTAATTCATAACCAGGAAACCAGGAAGAGGTTCCATAAAATTTTCTTTTTGTTCTCTTCTACTTTCACTCATCCACTCCTGCTGCCTCAGTTTAGTACTTTTTAAAACAGGAAATTCCTTATTCTTCAATATGTTTTATTTCCTTCTTTTCCCACTCATCTTTTTATTAAGTGTCCACCATTTCCCACCTGTTTTTTTAATTAAGTGTCTACCATGTGCCAGGCAAGTGTTAGGAACTTGGGAATACAACACACCAGTGTACAAGGCAACCAAGGTCCTTACTACTATGAAGCTTACGTTTCAGTGGGGCAGAGAGGCAATAAATAACAAAGTTTAAGTGTCACTTGTAACAGTGCTATGATGAGAATAATGTATGCACACACATGCACTATTTTAAACAGGTTGTCAGGAAAAGCCTCTTTCGGGAGATGCCATTTAAGGCGAAATGCGAGATGAGAAGGACCTGGCTATGCAAAGAGCCAGGGAAGAGTGTTTTACGCTAGGGGACTCTTAAGGGAGGAGAGATTGCTTGGTATTGGTTAGGAAAGGTCAGAAGGCCAGTAAGGACGGAATGTAGGGAGTGGCATGAGATAAGGATGGGGAGACTGGGAGGGGCTAGATCATGGAACACTTTCATAGAGCAAGGTATACAGTTTGGATTTTGCTTCAAGTGCAATGGGAAGTCACTAAAGTATGTCAAGCCCCTGCTTGTAACATTACAAAAAGAGGAACACTTTTACTGCTGGATAGAAAATGGATTGGGATGGGGCTAAAGTACAGGCAGGAAGACCCCTCTAGAAGGCTAATATGGAGGATCGAGAGAGATGATGGTTATTTCTATTAGGATGGGGCAAGTCAGGATGGAGAGAAGTGGGCAGATTTCCTACCAGAAATGCTACAGAATGTCCTTCAGGCAGAGGAGGGATATGATACCAGATGGAAACCTGAAACTACACAAAGGAATGAAGAGCACCAGAAATAGTATCCATGTGGGTAAATATCTAAGACTTTTTCTTACTATTTAAATCTTTTTAAAAAGACCAGGTGGGGAGAAATGGAAGTACTATTGTAAAGTTTTAATACAATCTATGAAGTGGTATAATATCATTTTAAGGTAAACTGTGATAAGATGGATGTATACTATAAATTCTTACTATGAAAATAAGAGTTGTAGCGAATATGCCAATAAAGGAAATAAAATGGAATCTAAAAAACACACAAAACAAAACCTCAGTTAATCCAAAGAAGGCAGAAAAGTAGAACAAAGAACACATGCGACAAACAGAAAAATAGTACTCACATCAATGATCACATGAAATGTAAGTAGTCTAAACACCACATAAAGGCAGAGATTGCCAGAATGGATAAAAAAAGAAAGACCCAACTATACACAGCTTAACAGAAAGCTATAAACATAAAGGCAGAAACAGATTAGAAGTAAAAGGACAGAACAAGCTAACATTAATCAAAAGGAAGCTGCACTGGCCATACTCATATCAAAGAAAGTAGATTTCAGAGTAAAGAATATAACCAGATACATAGAAGGCCATTTTGTAATGAAAAGGTCAATTCACCAAGAGGACATCATGATTCAAAACATTTTTACACCTAATAGCAGAACATAAGAAATAAAAATGTATAGAATCGCAAGAACAGACAGGCACAGGGACAGACATATAGATCAATGGAATAGACCTGAGAGTCCAGAAATAAATCCTTGTATTTATGGTCAATTAATTTTCTACAAGGGTGCCAAGACAATTTAATGGAGGGAATAGTAGTCTTTTCAACAAATGGTGCTGGGACAACTGGATATCCATATCCAAAAAATCAAGTGGGACCTCAATTTCACACTATATGTAAAAATTAACTCTGAATGGATAAAAG